ATAAGTTATTTAATTAAAATATTAAGTTTGTGTGTGTGCTTCTGTGCTGTTTTTTTTTTTTTTTTTTTTACCAGCAGAGAATGCAAACATAGCACACTGCTCAGATCTTGTCTGAGGTGTTTAGCGTGTGGTCAGAATGACTAAGCAAACATTCAGACAATGCCTGACTTTAACATTTATGATTCAATAAAATAAATTTTTTTTTGAGTATATTATGATTGACACACACTTAATTCATAGTGCACAGTTCTCACTACTGTTGGGTTCAATCTTATGAGAGAAGACAGCTCAGCAATCTGTACGAATAAAGAGCACCCAGGTAGTAAACACTTTTATTATGAGATAGAAAAACAAAATGTTAATTTGATTAGCCAAAATTTTTCGGGGGAGGTTGTGGTCGTGGACTTGTTTCCCATTATTTGCCTTGGGTCCATTCCATGGATCACCATACACCCTGGTATGGATATCTCCTTCTGCAATGAGAAGAACAGATAAAAAACCACCGACTGTCTAAACAGAAAACTTATTCCTTGTGGTATTTTTTAAGCAGTCTGGTTTTGGATGGGCGTGACATTATCTTTTCAACACTCTATTCTACAACACCGATTTGTGTAATAAAAGATAAGATATAAATGTGTTATTTTAGATAAAATATAAGTGCGTGATAAAAATTGTGAGGTAATTGTAATATGTAAGACAATGGGGCACACATATTAAAAATTTGTTTAAAAAAATTAAAACAAATCTCTACTTTCACACCTTTTAACATGTAAATCCATAATCCATCTTAAAGCCTCATGTCCTTTCTTGGTATCAATGTGATATTGGACCAGAGTGGTCTTCCTCTCTTAAACCTGTTTCAGAAGTCCCCAGAAGGTGAGAAAAATTTGTCACTCTTCTAATAAAAGTTAATGGACCTTACAGGCCATCATCCTTTCCCATCAGGAGAGTGCAAAATGAGGTCCTCTGGACAAGCCTGATGACCTGAATGTTGGAGGGAAAAAGAACAAAAAACCGAAGTTTCCTCTCTCAGTACCTTCCTTCTGGCTTCCTTGACTGTCGTCTTCACTTTTCAGGTCCTCTGCCATACTCTAACAATGGCATCTGAAGCTATGTTTTTAGGAATGAGAGTGCAGCACACAATACCAAACACGCCAAGAGCGGAGAGGGGAAGTCTAAGGACTTCCTGTTCTATACCACCCTCACTGACTTGAAAACAAATTTTTCAAATGGACCTGCAATGTTATCATCAGATTAAGTTAGCCAATTGGATATTATAGTGTGGTCCACATGTTATTAGGGATTCCCCAACAGGATGAATGTAAACACGTTTACAATTTAATTAGGTAACACATGCTCATTAGACACACATCTTAGAACTTCAATAACACCAATTTGTATCACAATCTTTATGAAATCAATATTAAAATTGAGGAATCATCTTAACCACAAAAGTATTGGAGTTAGGTTTGACCAGTACCCTATTACAGTCACTGGAAGCACTAGTCTTACCATTGTACAGGTTCCTAACCACATCCAAGCAGGAAATCCAAGTCTTTTCCTCCACAGAACCACAATAGATCAGACTTGGAAATAGGTATCTGGTATTGGACCAATTCACAATGTTTATTATTTTATTAAACCATGAAAGCTTTGCTGCACTTCACCTACCTCTGTTGCATTATAGTAAACATGTATAATTACCCTCCTTTGGCATTTAGTTGGGTGGTGTGGTCATGTTGGACGCTCTGAAAACAAAGAACTCAGAACATAACATTTAGCAGGGGTGTGACTCATGTGCAAAGCAATCATGCAGTGTAAACCTTTTAATTCTTTACACATCATGATTTCTCTCAGTAATGATACAATAGCATTTGCTGGTGATGTTCAGTAACAACAGCATTAATGAGACAGTCAGGTCAAGGCAATATGACAAGATCAGACCTAATTATTAGGCTGATGATTAACAGAAATGACATTCATTCACTGTAGCAAAAGTAATTTGTAATAACATATAAAATCATTAGTTCATCTTCCTCGCAATGGTATTTGCTGATAATCCATTGTGGGCTGGTTTGGAGGGGGCCCCCAAAGACCTGGTGGATTCAGCTGTTGTTGTGATGCCAGTGCTGCTGCTACTGCATGTTTTTATCTTAGTCTTCAAATCCATAGGTGTTGTGACCATCTGCTTGGCCTGTTTTGTTAATTTCCTTTTCATTCTGTCAGGGCTCTGTGTGCGGGTAGGCAGAGGTGAGGATCCAAAAGCAGGACTCGCTGAAAACCATAGCTTTATAGCTGGCGATAAAAACAAAACATGAACTGAACACTGACTGCAGAAAACAGAAATCAAACCAGGGAAAAACACAAACTAGAACACACAGGCAAAATCTGATTGTACGACGCGACACTGAGCAAAGACAAACACAGAGCTAAAATACACAGGCCTCGACGTACCTGGAAATCCCTCACCTAGGGTCTTCTGGGTGAGGGATTAGATCAAACACAGAGTGATTCAGAAGGCCCCTATGAGAAGAACACTTAGGGAACAGTTCACCCTGCCCATGATAGGGTTGCCGGGGCCCCTCCCTAAAGCCAGGCCCAGGGAGGGTGCCCAAGGGCAAGCCAGGCCTTAGTCCATGGGGCTTGGCCAGGCACAGCCCAAAAAAAGGACATGGGCCCATCGTCCTGCAGGAGGCACCGTAGGGGTCATGGGTGCATTGTGAGCTGGGTGGTGGTCAGGAGCAGAGGCCCTGGCGGACTGATACCTGGATACCAAGACTGGCAATTGGGAAATTGAATTTTACCTCTCTGATGGGGACAGAGGCTGAGTTAGTGTGTGAGGTTGAGAGGTACCAGCTGGATATAGTCGGGCTCACCTAAATGCACGGCTTGGGCTCTAGAACCAGTCTCCTGGAGAGAGGTGGTGGACTGGAGCGGGTATCCTAGTATCTCCTCGGCTTCCTGTCCGTACATTGGGCTTTCTTCAACTGGACAAGAGGGTTCGTTCCCTGCGCCTTCGGGTCGGGTAACGGGTCTTGACCATCGTCTGCACTTATGCACCAAGTGGCGGTTCAGAGTACCCAGCATCTTGGAGTCCCTGGGTGGGGTGGTAGAGGGTGCTCCACCTGGGGACTCTGTGTTCCTACTGGGAGACTTCAATGCTCATGTGGGCAATGACAGTGAGACCTGAAGGGGCGCAAACGGCCTACCGGATCTTATTGTTGTTGGACTTCTGTGCAAAACACAGTTTGGCCATAAGGAACACCGTGTTTGAACATGGTAACGGGCTTGGTTAGCCTGTGGGAATTTGGAGGCAGCTGATAGCTACCAACAGGCCAAGTGGAACACGGCTTGGGCAGTGGCTGAAGCAAAATTTTGGGTGTGGGAGGAGTTCGAAGAGGCCACAGAAAAAGACTTTCGGACTGCCTCAAAGAGATTCTGGCACACTGTCTGGCGACTTAGGAGGGGAAAGCGATTGCTCTACCTACACTGTGTATAGTGTTGGTGGAGCGCTGCGGACTTCAGCTGAGAAAATATTCAAGCGATGGAAAGAATATTTTGAGGACCTCCTTAATCCCACTGTCATGGCTTCCATGGATGAAGTGTGAGATGGCCCCACAACAGCCCTTTTGAATGTCTCCCTAATTATGAGGTCTCAAGGTTGGCAAGTATGCTCCCACTCCCCAAATGCTCTCAGCCAGCCACAAGCATGCTCTGCTACTCTGTCATAGTTAGCTGATATGACTGATAGGCTTAACGGCCTCTAGACTGTGGAGCAGCTATGCCATAAGTGAGTGGCAATGTGAACACAATAACACAACAATCAACTAACTTGTAATCGAGTGCGTTACAATATGTAAGGAAACATGTTAGAAGTGGCTACAGGTTGTATTTATTTTAAAGAACAGAACAGACTCAATATATGAAGAATCATACAGAAGGGTGAGAGAAGGCCAACAACATCCTAATTGTCCTTCTCACCTCAAGCTTCATGTTTTGAACAAGGCTCAAACACACAAATATGCATAAACACGCATATTTAACCCTGATAAAGTTATTTATTGTTAGCAGATTAGACATGCAACCCTTCTGCCTCCAGACAGCAGACAAGTACAAGCTAAACTACAACACTAGCAGGATATTCCTTTGTTTAGAAAAACATTGCATATAAGATAACAAAGCAGGTTGTTGTTTTGAGCCAGCCCTAAATCAGAAAGCAGGTTGTTGTTTTGAGCCAGCACTAAATCAGATTCTCTTGAGTCTAATTAAAGTTAAAGAAAATGTAGTTTAAACTGTATCTCAGTCAATTAAAAAATTGATAACAAATACGTATTTGGGATTTAAGCACATATAGAATATATTTTGAATAAGACTATAGTATATCACAGAGTTACTCCTCTCACCCCACCTTTTTGTTCCACAGGGATTAATTTTTGCTACTTTAAAATGTATAAATACAAGTCTTACTGTATACAGTGCCATATAATGCCACCCAGTGGTTTAGGTTTTCCAGACAGCATGCCATCTACGCAGAAATGGCCAGAACAGGGGTGGGCATTTTTACAACTGTTATTGGTAGCGTGTTTCTCTCATAGTGAGGAGATATGCAAGAGAAGAGGGGACCCTGAGAACCCCCAACTGTCTAAGAATGGGGATATTATACTAGGAGGGATGTTCTCTTTTCACAGCAGCTGGAAAGACAGAAAGGATAACTACATGCAGAAACCACTACCACTGCAATGTACCAGGTATAACATTGCAAAAATTTATTCAATTTTGAAATATCTAAAAGTGGTCTCCAAAAAAAAAAGGTGTCAGGTCTTTTGTCTCATTCTGGTTTAGATATTCATGTATTTCAGTTGTGTTACTGACGGATTGATTTTAACTGAGTGACATTTAACAATGTTCTGTGTCTTCTTCAATGTGAAACTAAATATTATATCAATTATTTACTGTTTGGATCAAGTTTGAATTTCAGAGAGTTCCAGTTTGCCCAGGCTATGCGTTTTGCCATTGAGGAGATTAACAACAGTTCAGATCTACTGCCAGGAGTCTCTCTGGGCTATAAAATGTATGATACTTGTGGCTCCATTGCCAGAGGTATAAAAGTTGCACTTGCCTTAGTAAATGGTAATGAAATTTTTTCTGCAGTGTCTGGAGTACCCTGTACCAGACCTGCATCAGTGCAGACCATTTTGGGAGAGACTTCTTCATCTCCTTGCATGGCAATATCAACTGTAATTGGGCCATTTTATATACCAATGGTAGGTAGGATTGGTAGAAATGTAAGAATTTCTGGAAAAAAAAACCCCCCAACAAAAACCATTTGCCTTTATTGTTCCACTTTATCAATATATATCATTCTTTGTGTTTTTCCATGTGAATGAGTTCTTTTTCCTTTCTTTTAGATCAGTCACTTTGCCACATGTGCTTGTCTCAGTGACAAAACCAAGTACCCATCCTTCCTCAGAACAATACCAAGTGACTACTACCAGAGCAGAGCCCTGGCCCATTTGGTCAAGTACTTTGGATGGACTTGGGTTGGAGCTATTCGAACCAATGATGATTATGGAAATAATGGCATGGCCACATTCACAGAAACTGCACAGCAGCTGGGCATCTGTCTAGAGTATTCTGTATCTTTTTTTAGGACAGATCCCTATGAAAAAATTCAAAAGATCATTGAAACTATAAAGGCTTCAACCTCCAAGGTGATCATTGCCTTTCTTTCACACATGGATATGGATGTGCTAATAAATAAACTGTCTGTCCATGGCCTAACTGGGTACCAGTGGGTAGGCAGTGAGTCTTGGATATCTGATTCCCAAATAGCTGCAATGGATATACATCACATACTAGATGGTGCCATTGGTCTTTCAATTCCAAAAGCACATGTCAGTGGCTTGAAAGAGTTTATACTGAATGTAAAATCACTGAATTCATCTAATAATGAACTCTTTATTGAGTTCTGGGAGACACTATTTAGTTGTAAGTTCAAGGAGTTGAACTCAACAGCAGAAAATCCGAGGGAGTGCACTGGACATGAAGATATGACTGGAGTTCAAAACAGTTTCACTGATATGTCACTTATGTCTATCTTTAACAATGTCTACAAAGGAGTGTATGCTGTGGCCCATGCACTTCACAAAATCCTCAGCTGTAATGAAACATGTAACAAAAATGTGCAGCTAGATCCATTCATGGTGAGGTTACATTTGAACAAAAAGTAGCAGTTGTGCTGTCTGTGTTACAAAATGAGATTCAATAAATTAACAGACTGCTTGTCTTCTTAGATTTTGCAGCGCATTCTAAAAATTTATTTCAAAACAAAAGAAGGTGATGAGGTTTACTTTGATGAGAATGGAGATCCAGCAGCAAAGTATGAAATTATAAACTGGCAGCCAAGAAAAAACAGCATTGTGGAGTTTGTGACAGTTGGTCTTTACGATGCATCACTTTCTCCAGACAAACAGCTGACTTTGCAAAATAACTCATTAATTTGGGAAAGTAACACAAAGCAGGTAAGGTATTAGAAAATAATTAAAACCGTAATTAAAAGCTACAATTTCAATTTTGAATGTTTGAATTTGGTTTGAATTTGAGGCAATGAAAAATAAAGCTCAAATGATACAGGGACTTTTGTTGTAGTCATTGTGCATTTATCCATACAGGTGCCTGTGTCAGTTTGCAGTGAGAAATGTCCCCCAGGAACACGCAAGGTTCTCCAGAAAGGAAGGCCTGTTTGCTGCTATGACTGTATAAGATGTGCAGATGGCGAGATCAGCAACATTACAGGTTTTGTGCTCTAACAGAAACTTTAGAAGTTAGTGAGGCAGGCTTTGCATTTTTGTTTAATTCACATATCCCCCAAAGCCAGTAAAATACACCTTATACACCTTATAAAAAAGAAACAGACAAAAAGACCTATGCCAGATGTCTTTTCACAGTTCAAGAGTCAACTCCAGGTGACACCAAATCTTCAACGTTAATAGAAATAAAAAAAAATATAACAAAACAGTCAACTCAGCAGATAACATGGGTTTGTAGGTTGATCTCTTTTCATTTTTGTATGCTCTATATTTGGCTAGGTGCAGAGTAGAAACTGGAGCAATGTAAGAAATGCATCATCTGCTATGTTGATGAGAAAGTGAAGAAATGTCAGGAAACATGTTGCTTCTTCTCTTTATGATTGTGTGACATCAGTAGCTTACTAGAGTAATTGTAGAAATGATATAGGATAAAGTAGATGTAAACACTGAAAATTATGCACTTGGGGAAAAGTGAAAAATCTACTCATGAAGTGTAACATCTGGTTCATTATCAATTTGCAGATTCTGTCAGCTGTGTGAGATGCCTCCCTGAGTTTTGGCCAAATCAGAAAAAAGATGCCTGTATTAAGAAAGAGGCAGTGTTTCTATCATATGAAGAAATTATGGGAGCACTCCTGACTGCTGCATCTTTATTTGGAACATGCATGACTACTGGTGTGGCATTAATATTCTTCAAATACAGGAAAACTCCTATTGTGAGGGCAAACAATTCTGAGCTGAGCTTCCTGCTGCTCTTCTCTTTGACATTGTGTTTCCTGTGTTCTCTGACATTCATTGGTCAGCCCTCTGAATGGTCTTGCATGCTGCGACATGTAGCATTTGGCATCACCTTTGTCCTTTGTATCTCTTGTGTTCTGGGGAAAACAATGGTTGTTTTAGTGGCTTTCCGGACTTCACGTCCAGGGAGCAATGTAATGAAATGGTTTGGACCTGCACAGCAGAGACTCTGTGTTACAGGTTTCACTCTTATACAAGTATTCATATGTGTCATCTGGCTAACAATTTCTCCGCCTTTTCCATTTAAGAATTTCAAAGAATTTAAAGATAAGATTACATTAGAGTGTGCTTTGGGCTCTGTTGTAGGTTATTGGGCTGTGCTTGGCTACATTGGACTTTTGTCTCTCTTATGTTTTATTTTTGCTTTTCTGGCTCGGAAACTGCCTGATAATTTTAATGAAGCCAAGTTTATCACCTTTAGCATGCTGATATTTTGTGCAGTGTGGATCACATTTATCCCAGCGTATGTCAGCTCTCCAGGGAAGTTCAGTGTTGCTGTAGAAATATTTGCTATTCTTGCCTCCAGCTTTGGACTGCTGATTTGCATTTTTTTCCCCAAATGTTATATCATCTTACTGAAACCAGAAAGGAACACAAAAAAGAACATGATGGGAAAGGGAGCTCCATAATCATCTTTCTGAAAAAAATAAATAAAACAATATGTAAGCAATGGTTTGGATATTCAAACAACAGTTCACTTCATCCTTCGGTTACAAAGATTGTATTTTTAAAATGCATATGAATATACCAGTGACATTAATATGGTCATATTGCGAAAAGTATTCACGCTCACTCATCGAAATTATTGAATTTAGGTGTTTCAATCACAGGTGTATATAACCATGCATGTAGGCATGCAGACTGCTTCTACCATCTACTATCAAAAAGTTGATTCTGTTCATTGGACATAGTGTTTTCAGTAGGAGAAATGTTTTGTCACTCATCCAAGTGACTTCTTCACTCTCAGCTGACTTCAGCTTTCCCAAACCTACTCTACTTGGCTCTACTTTAAGAGTCACCACCATCTCAAAGCAGGATATCAAAGTCATAGCACAAGTTTGTCCACGTGGAGGTATTTCTCCTCTTTATTGTGAGTGTTGTTAGAGTCATTGCTCAAAAAAGTTGTCATGGTGTGCGCTCTGTGAAAGGCAGGAGGAAGGACCCAAATGCAGGCCCAAAAATTAAACTCAAAGCGACAGCTTTATTTGCTAGAAAAACTCAAACATGAAATACAAGATAACTCAAACTAGAAACTCAAAGCACAAAACTCTAATCAGACAGCTGGGAAAACTAGAAAAGAAAACCAGGAACAGAGAACCAGAATGTTACCATAAGCACAGAGGAGAAAACGCAGCACAATGAAGGTACAACACAACAACTAACAGAAAGAAACACAGGACTTAAATACACAAGCAGGACAACAAGAGGATGGGGAACAGGTGGTACCCATACGGAAAAGAAATAGTAAAAACTTATATGTGATTACTCATGAAAGTGGCCACTTTCATGAGTAAATCATATAAGGCTTACATGATTTACTCATGAAAGTGGCCACTTTCATGAGTAAATCATATAAGGCTTACGTGATTTACTCATGAAAGTGGCCACTTTTGCATTACTTTCATATATTGTTTTAGTAAGTATCCAAAACATACAAGTTTCATTATATAATTTTTCAAGGGATCTTATATCTGTTTTCACACTTATATGCTTTTCATACAAGTTTCACACAAGACAGATACAAACTTTATAAGATTTATATATATCTTTTCCATATGGGTAACACAACTGGGACAAGTCAGACCTAACGAGAAAAGGGAAGCAAAACCACACACAGTGCACACAGTACAGGGAATATCAAAAGAAAACAGGAAACATATGACAGGCACAGAGGCATGGACTTGACACTGAACAGAGGGAACATGGAGCACGGGGACAGGATTAACTGGGGAACAAGAAAATAAACATGAAGACAGAACTATGCCTACACTAAACATGAGGGGCACAGGAACAAAACCCAAGAACTAGAAACCCCAAAGAAGAACTAGATAGCTAGAAATACAATACCATAAACCAAAAAGACTATTAATAATAAACTATGATGAAATCAAATATTAATAATAACACAAAACACTGGGTCACCAACCCATGACCGTTACAAAAGTAATGTATTACACAAATTACACAAAACACTTTTCTTAACCCTTTAAAACCAGTCGGAGCGGGCACGCTCTGTTTTGCATAACTATTTTTAAATCGCGGTAGCACTGCAACCACATAAGCTAGCGCAATAATTTTTTTTGCATATGAAACCGGAGGAGTTGTACTTACATCTTATGCCATCAGCTTGTCCTAGGTCACGGTTTCCTTCCACATATAGCTTTGCAAAAACTGCATAAAAAGTGTTTGCAGGAACAAAAACATAATATTCCAGAAACCCCAAGTGTTTTGGAGTTTGTACGTGTTTTGGAGTTTGCATGTGTTTTTTAGTTTGCAAGTGTTTTGGATTTTCCAAGTGTTTTGGAGTTTGTACGTGTTTTGGAGTTTGCAAGTGTTTTGGAGTTTGCAAGTGTTTTGGAGTTTTTACGTGCTTTGTCTCTAGGGGCCAACGTACAGTTGCATTCAACTAGCGCTTCAAAATAGGAGTGAGAGGAGCAAAAAGTAGCAGGTAATTTCAAATGGAGCATTTCTGTTTGTTGCACTGTGTGTCTGCTAGCTAAATTTACAGCAGCTGTATTTCACAGTAGTGATGCGCGAATCATGAACGAATCGTTCAATACTCGAGAATCACTTTACTGACTCATGAATCATGATTCACAAGCCCAACTAACTCACTGACTCATCCCTGTTGCTGTTAGCAGCAATGTATCTAGCTTATAATTAAAATTGTGGAGAAAAACACAACATCCAGTAACATAACAAAAAAAATTCTGCTCTGAACTTGAAGAAAAAACCCTGAGTACAAGCTCACATCAAGAAAATAGCTCCTCGGTTCACAGTAGCATCGCTCTGCTAACATGCTAACAGCACATTTGAGCTACTCACCCCCTCCCTTCCTGTGCTGAATCGTAAGCCTAAGCGAATCACTCAGGACTCACTAACCCCCTACCTCCTGTGCTGAATCGTAAGCGTAAGCAAATCACTCAGGACTCGCTCACCCCCTCCCTCCTGTGCTGAATCATAGAGCGAATGAATCACTCACTCGCTAACCCCCTCCCTCCTGTGTTGAATCGTAAGCGAATCACTCAGGACTCGCTCACCCCCTCCCTCCTGTGCTGAATCATAGCACGAACGAATCACTCACCCCCTCCCTCCTGGCTCACAGCTTCTTCTTCTTCTTGGTTGGCAACCACTGTTAAGGCACATTACCGCCCCCTGGCTCACAGCTCAGTGGACATTTAGATGAGAAAATATATATTTAACACATTTAAGGAAAATACTAATAAAATAAAAAATAAAAATATATTAAAATAAAAATAAATAAATGTTTATTAAGCAATTTTGATACGAAATTGCTTAATTTTAGAAATATTTTTGCTCTTTTTTGCTCTATAAAATAGTTGTTTTCTTTTAGAATCATTCATCTTAGCAGTAGGATTTACATGAAAAGAGAAACAAATTAAGTTTGAGTGAAAATGTATATTTTTTGCACTCTCTGGTCGACTGACTCAGTGACTCAAAAAAACAGATTCACTTTGGTGAGTGATTCATTAAAATTCGATTCAGTAAAAAGAATCAAATTTACCATCACTATTTCACAGGGAGCAAAAAGAAAAAGAAGTAACTTCACTCAGAGATACTGTAGAGCAGAGCTTTCCAAAGCCCGCCCGAGCCATTGCAGGAGGGGGGGAGGCGGCGCTATGAAAAAGGAAAAAAAACAAACAAACAATTGCTTGGACACTGCTAGCACGGGGCGCCCACACAAACGCAAAGCAGGAGATGAAGCATAGCTGAATATGTTTCCAAACCAACTTCATTCTAAGCCAAAGACTAGAAAATATTGTGAAGCATACCTTCCCTTTGGCTTCACCTGCACAAGTGCCAAGGTAGGTCTCCCCTGCTTAATTGGTTTTCCCTGCGTCGGGAGCACGCGTTGGGCTGTTCAAATCACAGACAAACAGTATCCCACATTCTTGGTTTTTAGTTCACAATCACTTGTTGTAATAACTAACTACTCCTGACATTTTGGAGATGTTAAGTCTTTATACAGTAAAGTTACAGTGGGATACAAATAATATCAGGCTGATCCTGTCACGATTTGTCCCGTCTGTCTAAACAGTATCCTACAGTTGTTGACGTTTTTAAGCCCATGTTGCACAGAGAGGCATATGTTGAAAAATGTATTGATAGCAATGTTGAATATTATTACACAGGAAAAAAACAACTACCAGAGGTGGGACCAAGTCATTGTTTTGCAAGTCTCAAGTAAGTCTCAAGTCTTTATCCTCAAGTCTCAAGTCAAGTCTCAAGTAATGTCAGGCAAGTCCGAGTCGAGTCTCAAGTCACTGGTGTAAAAGTCCGAGTCAAGTCACAAGTCTGAAACTTTGAATTTCAAGTCCTTTCGAGTCTTTAAAAAAAAACAAACGAAAAAATAATGTTGCAGTTATGCTAAATGTAAATATTAGACCATGTAATTTTAAAATCTGTGTTTTTCTCAACACATGACAAAATAGTGAACTTAGAAAATATACACAAATTGTGAAATTGCACCTCTTTAAAATGCAGCTCAATTAAACCTAGCTCCAAGAATAATTTTCACCGACAGTTCTGAGATAAGCTGCATGTTATTCTTGGATGCGGTTGTAGGACCAGCTTTAAAATCGCATGACAAAAATATCATACACATTAAAAAAAACTGTATCACCAACGTAGCCTGGACAACATTTGCTAGTTAGATGAAGTCAGCTATCTCATCCTAGCATATTTATATGCATATTTATAATTACACGGTTCTTGGTGTGAGTGCATACACTCATGAAGTTTAGTAACTTCAGGTCACTGCAACAAGCCCAGGTACAGTTTACCGACGGATGGGTACAGGACCTTGAAATGCACCGTGTAGAACGAAAGACCATCGTACGTATCATAAGTTTACCAGTCTCACAAATTGTCGTCATAAATACACATTCGTTAACCGTTTATTAATAGGACCTTTGAGCTCAACGGTAATTAATTAGTAGTGGAAATAATTTCTGGTACCCATCACAGAAATGTAGCAGTGACAATAATATTGTATGCTGTAATCGTACTGGGCAATTAGTGATACAAAAAACCTGTTTTATCCTGTGAATAAAAGTATATGTTTTTGTCAATGTGCCATAATAACAGAAGCAAAACGCAATATTGTGTCAGGACAATTTACTATTTATGCACAATAAATAAAGGAGCATAGCGCGACAATTTCTGTTCAGCGCCAGACTTGCTTGTAACCTATATCACCAATTATGTTAAGAAAAATGACGTATTAACTACTAAAAAACACTGACCTTCGTGTAAATGCTTGGAGCAGACTAACCTGTGAGCTGGAGTGTTCTGGGACGTTATATTTTATCTTTGAATGGCTGCAATCCAGGCCATCCGTCACCTTTGTTACTTCGGAAACATGGCTTGAACAATTTCTCTTCAACGACGTAATCCGATAACAACCGATCTCTTTACCCGTCGGCTTCCCGTGGCTGTCATGCGACCGGCTATTGCAGTTAATAATACAACAGCTTCTTGACATTTTTGTGTTTCTTTTTATCGCTGTGTGACTGATTTTAATTGAAAGCCTGCGTGCGCTAGTACCGCTTGCCACGAGTTCCCAGAATCCTTTGTGGTTCTACCCGTGAATGACGTCACATTTTCAATCTCTATATAATATGCATGTTAAATTTTATATTTGGGGTAAAATATCAAGTCTTTTCAAGTAAACCGGTTCAAGTCCAATTCAAGTCCCAAGTCATTGGTGTAAAAGTCCAAGTCAAGTCACAAGTCTTAGAACATTTTTTCAAGTCAAGTCTAAAGTCATAAAATTAATGACTCGAGTCTGACTCGAGTCCAAGTCATGTGACTCGAGTCCACACCTCTGACAACTACACATAAAATATATTACACCATGATGCCTCTGCCTTTCTAAATGGGGGGACAGTAACTGCGTGTGTATATGTAAGCGTGTAAAACCTGAAGATAGTCAGATTAACAGTAACAATATTTTGTCTCTATCTGCCATTCTGCAATTCATCTCATGTAAACAATAACGTGCGCACAGCATGACGTGAAAAAAGGCACACACCTTTGAGGTTGTGTGACGAACTCTGTATTCCTCGTTCACACGTAAACGCAAAAAAGGAGTTTTAAAAAAATCTCAGTTTTCGGTGATTCGAAACGCCGTTTATGTGTGGACGAAAGTCCCAAACGCATAGAAAATGTCATGGTCCTGGGCCATGTGGGCCCAGTATTCTTAGTTCCTTGTATTTTTGTATTTCGTTCCTTATTTAGGCCATGTTTTCTGAGTTGCCCTGTTGTGTTGTTCCCTAAGTGTTTTCCCTTCATGGCTTTTACCCCCTGTGTGCCCCTCTGTGTATCTGTGAGCCCTCGTCTCTCCTTATGTTTTATTCCATGTTTCCCCTGCCCATTATGTCTAAGTTCTCCCCGTGCTCTCTCTCCCCCCTGTGTGCCCTCTATGTATTTATGAGCCCTCGTCTCCCTTTGTGGTTGTTTCATGTTTCCCCAGCCCGTTATGTCTGTGTTTTCCCCGTGCTCTCTCTCCTCCTGTCTGAACCTCTGTGCCGGTACATGTCATGTTCAGTTCACCCCGCCCTGTCTCGTTATGATTATCAGTGTCACCTGTGTTCCCCGTGTGTGCCCACTTTCCTCGTTTACCCTCTGTGTATTTCTGTCTGAGTCTCCCTCTGTTCGGCGTCGCGTTCTCCCTCATGTTGTGTGTAATTCTCCCCGTGGTTCGGTTCCTTGTACAGCTCATGCTTTAGTTTTCCCAGTTTTAGGTTATTTTGTATTACTTCTCGTGGCCAGCAATAAAGCTGTGTTTTTTGAGTTTATCCCCGTGTCTGTGAGTCTGCATCTTGGGTCCTTCTCCTGCCTGCCACACAGCAAACCATGACAGAAAAAGCTGCGTTTTCAAAAAAAACAAACATTTTTCTTGTGAAAGAAAGGAGGGCCTAACGAAAAAAGTTTGATATAGAGTAAGATAAGAAAGACAGGACAGGAGAGGAAGAAGAGACATTCTGATTGGTATTTGATTATTGGAAATTTAAACCTTATTAGTAAGTCCTCGTGTTTTGGACTTTGTGTCTGTACATGTGACATTATGTTTTTTCATGTTGTAAGACATGCTGCAGGTAGATTGTTATTTAAAGGTTGCATGGAGTTTAGTGCAGGGTAAGCAGTAATGGATTCAAAATAAAGCACTGTGTTGGACTGGAACACAATGGCTGCTGTGGTGCTCATGGTCAAAGTGACTCTTTACATTAGGAGTAACGGAATACATGTACCGCCGTTATGTATTTAAAATACAATATATGAGTAACTGTATTCTGTTACATTTACAGTTTAAAAAGGTGGTATTCAGAATACACATGCTTTTTTGAAATAAAGAGATTACACGGCGGCCTTTTCCTGTTTCATATGTCAGGTTAGGCCAGGGGTTCCCAAACTTTTTTCGCTGGGCCCCCCTTTGTTTTACAGAAAAATGTTCGCGCCCCCCTCGCACGCACACGCACATCCTCCAACCACACACACGCATATTTTGCTCAATTGTGGTTTATTTCACACCTCAAACATTTAGTAAACAAATAAGCAAATACAAGTAATCTACAGGTAGTAAGAAAATAAACTACTAACTCTTTTACGCTACGTCTGCACCTACATGGGTATTTTTGAAAACTGCAACCACAGCCTCCCAGACACTGTTCAGAGAGGTGTACTGTTTTCCCTCCTTGTAAATCTCACATTTGATGATGGACCACAGGTTCTCAATGGGGTTCAGATCAGGTGAACAAGGTGGCCATGTCATTAGTTTTTCTTCTTTTATACCCTTTCTTGCCAGCCACGCTGTGGAGTACTTGGACGCGTGTGATGGAGCATTGTCCTGCATGGAAATCATGTTTTTCTTGAAGGATACAGACTTCTTCCTGTACCACTGCTTGAAGAAGGTGTCTTCCAGAAACTGGCAGTGGGACTGGGAGTTGAGCTTGACTCCATCCTCAACCCGAAAAGGCCCCACAAGCTCATCTTTGATGATACCAGCCCAAACCAGTACTCCACCTCCACCTTGCTGGCGTCTGAGTCGGACTGGAGCTCTCTGCCCTTTACCAATCCAGCCACGGGCCCATCCATCTGGCCCATCAAGACTCACTCTCATTTTATCAGTCCATAAAACCTTAGAAAAACCAGTGTTGAGATATTTCTTGGCCCAGTCTTGACGTTTCAGGTTGTGTGTCTTGTTCAGTGGTGGTTGTCTTTCAGCCTTTCTTACCTTGGCCATGTCTCTGAGTATTGCACACCTTGTGCTTTTGGGCACTCCAGTGATGTTGCAGCTCTGAAATATGGCCAAACTGGTGGCAAGTGGCATCTTGGCAGCTGCACGCTTGACTTTTCTCAGTTCATGGGCAGTTATTTTGCGCCTTGGTTTTTCCACACGCTTCTTGCAACCCTGTTGACTATTTTGAATGAAACGCTTGATTGTTCGATGATCACGCTTCAGAAGCTTTGCAATTCTGACACTGCTGCATCCCTCTGCAAGATATCTCACTATTTTTGACTTTTCTGTGCCTGTCAAGTCCTTCTTTTGACCCATTTTGCCAAAGGAATGGAAGTTGTCTAATAATTATGCACACCTGATATAGGGTGTTGATGTCATTAGACCACACCCCTTCTCATTACAGACATGCACATCACCTAATATGCTTAATTGGTAGTAGGCTTTCGAGCCTATACAGCTTGGAGTAAGACAACATGCATGAAGAGGATGATGTGGACAAAATACTCATTTGCCTAATAATTCTGCACTCCCTGTAGTTGTTTTTTTCCTGTGTAATAATATTCAACATGATGCTCACTGTGCAGGTGCTAGCAAAGAGTCAAAATTGTATTGTTTTTTTTTCTGAAAATGTTTGCACATTACTGTTGTGCTCTCATCTTTTTGTATGATAAAAATAAAAGTAATGTACATATCCATACTGTAGACTGTGCCGCTATTTTCCTTCTCTGGAGCAGAAACTCAAATTAGCTCACTGTAGCAGAAGTACAAGTGGAATCAATAAACGGGATCGAGAGACAAGCAGACTTAACAGTTCCAAGGAACTGGACTTCTGGGAATCTGTTCTTAAGTCCCGTTCCTAGACACTAATAATAATGCACCAACCTACTCGAGAGCTTTCTTAATTTGGTTAGATGTTGTGTTGTCTTCAGTTTTTCATTACCATGGAAATAATTCTGTCAGCACGCAGTTTAGTTGTCTTATGCACACTTTCAAGTCCTTTGATGCTTTTTTTTCTTTTATTTATTAATTTTTTTAAATGTAACAGATTGTTGCTTTATGATTTATTCACATTCAAAACAGTATGTGTTAAAAAAATTTTTAGTAATGTGACTATGTAAACAATTTTCATTGTGTAACCAGAAATACTATAAAACATTATGTTGTATATTATTATAACGTATTAAATTACGCTAGTAGGTAGGTAGGTAGGGTAGGGTAGGTGTAAGACCACAATTTTCCAAATGACCAAAAGAGGGTGCTAGGCATTGTTGGAAAAGAAAGAAGAAAAGAGAAAACAGAAAAATGGATGCAGCAGAATTTGGTGCTTTAGAAAGTTAGCCTGGATTAAACACAAGAATTATATGTTTTTCTCTCTGGTTAAATGTTATTAACAGTGTTATTTTATCATTATGTGTGAAATACAACTAAGATGTGGAATAAGGTACTATGCTGTTTTGTAATGATATAAAATATTGCAGTTGCTGTTACACTTTATGAACACAAGTAGATTAGAAATTTTTTTTAAGAAAGCAATCGTTAAAATTACATTTTTGTAATTTTTATTTTTAAGTGTTTCATTGCAACTAAGAGTGTGAGTCTTTATTGCTAAATTTATACTCTTTCTCTTCTCAGTTTCATTGTGATTTTACTTCCTCACACAGACAAAAGACGGGTGAAGTGAAGAAAATCAAATTGGTAGCTAGTTGTTGCAGTTGGAGAGGGAACCACTGTAAACACAAATTACTATAAAGAAAAAGTGAAATTGTTGATACTGACAGCCTGAAATACCTCCAAACTGTCGATTTTTTAGTATTAGCTTCTCCCCTTCTAGCAACTGGTAGACTGCTGGTAATCTTTATTGTAGAAAACACAGAAAAACATCAAACTGAATCGATCACAGTTGCCCAACTGTGAGAAATACAGTTGTTTTAAGATTGATATATAATATTGCATCACTAATATGAATGTAGGTGTGTGAATGGGTGAATGTGACTTACACAAAGCTCTCAGAGCAGCCTGAAAATACAATATAAAGTGAAGTAAATAAAGTAGGCAGCTCAATTATTTTAATTGAATTAATAAATAAGTATGTGTTTTCTAAGAAAGTAATAATAACAACTTTTTTGTCACTTACTGTAGGAAGAAGCCACTATAATTTCATAATTTTTCAGTGCATATTTATTTATAGTGAATCACTTTTTGTATTATAACTACATATTACATACCTACACACCTAAACTGCATTTCCTTCTTTTACAAAAAGTAACCTCCATAAAATTGTATAATTGGACATGTTCCTCCTCTTCCTCAACCTGAGAATGCATCATCTCTCTTCTGTTATTACATCTTAGGTTGCACCAGAAGGTATAAATATCAGTGCAAGTCTTTCATTTACACGAAGGCATTTATAATGGCATTAAGTGGTTTAGCTCTAGACTTGGCATCCTCACACAGATGGCCAGAGCAGGGGTGGGCACTTCTCCAATTATTATTGATGGCTTCTTTTTCTCAAGCTGAGGACCCAGTGTGCACGCAGAGAGGTGATTCTGGGAACCCAGTCCTATCAAAAGATGGGGATTTTATATTAGGGGGGATGTTCTCTTTTCACAGCAGCTGGGAAGACAGAATGGACAACTACACACACAAACCAATGCCACTACAATGTACCAGGTAAATGATAAGAAATGAATTTAATACAGTCATTTAAGAAATTCATCAATTCTTGGCTTTAAACATCCTTTGAAATGTTTTTTCCAAGTTTTAAGGGAAAATGTGATGCAATTCCAATTATTTGTACATGTCTCAAGTTTAAATTTCAGAGATTTCCAATTTGCACAGACTATGCTTTTTGCAATTGAGGAGATTAATAACAGTACAGACCTACTGCCAGGAATCTCTGTGGGCTATAAAATCTATGATACTTGTGGATCTGTGGCCAGAAGTGTAGGTGTCACACTGGCTTTGGCTAATGGAAATGAAATTGTGTCTGTACCCCCGAAGGCACCATGTACCAGACCTGCACATGTGCAGGCGATAATAGGAGAGACCTCTTCTTCTCCATCCATTGCAGTAGCTACTGTTATTGGACCATTTGTTCTGCCAGTGGTGGGTAGGCTTCTTTCTTTATACATTTTATATATATATAAAGATATATATAATGTTTAAAAAATATTTTTATTCTCTTAGATCAGTCACTTTGCCACATGTGCTTGTCTCAGTGACAAAACTAAGTACCCATCCTTCCTCAGAACAATACCCAGTGACTACTACCAGAGCAGAGCCCTGGCACATTTGGTCAAGCATTTTGGATGGACTTGGGTTGGAGCTATTCGAACCAATAATGATTATGGAAATAATGGCATGGCCACCTTCACAGAAACTGCACAGCAGCTGGGCATCTGTCTGGAGTATTCTGTATCTTTTTTTAGGACAGATCCATATGTGAAAATACAAAAGATAATTGAAATTATAAAGGCTTCAACCTCCAGGGTAATTGTTGCATTCCTTTCCCATGTGGATCTGGATGTGCTGCTACATGAGTTTTCATACCATAACTTGTCTGGGTACCAGTGGGTAGGCACTGAGTCGTGGATATTTGATTCACAAACAGCAAAAATGGATATACATCACATACTGAATGGTGCCATAGGTCTTTCCATTCCTAAAGCACATGTCACTGGCCTGAGAGAGTTCATACTGGATGTTAAGCCACTGAATTCATCTAATAATGAACTCTTTATTGAGTTCTGGGAGACACTATTTAGTTGTAAGTTCAAGGAGTTGAAATCATCAGCAGACATTCAGAGAGAGTGTACTGGACATGAAGATCTGAACGGAGTTCAAAACAGCTTCACTGATATGTCTCTCATGCCTATCTTTAATAATGTATATAAAGCAGTGTATGCAGTGGCACATGCACTTCACAATATCCTCAGCTGTAATAAAACATGTAACAAAAATGTGCAGCTAGATCCATTCACGGTGAGCTTTACACCAACTTAAAAGATTAAATCACATTAGCACGAACATTGTTGTCATAATTAAAAAAATATTTTGTCTTTCATAATCTTTGACCATTAGGTGTCCAAGATATCTCTATTGCAAGTAACTGAGTTTTGGCATGTTATCTTAGGTTTTGCAACACATACGAAAGATTCACATCACAACAAAGGAAAGAGATGAGGTTTACTTTAATGAGAATGGAGATCCAGCAGCAAAGTATGAAATTATAAACTGGCAGCCAAGAGAAAACGGCGTTGTGGAGTTTGTCACAGTTGGTCTTTATGATACATCATTGGCTCCAGAAAAACAGCTAAATTTGCAAAACAAGGCTTTAATTTGGGCAAGAAACACAAAGCAGGTACACATTCATACAACTTTGGGGTTTTTTGTTTTATTTTTTTCAATTTATAAATATGTATTTAATTTGTTTTACAGTATTTTGGTTTTGATCTTTCAAAATTAAGAAATTGTTTGACAGAGAACTTCATTTTTTTCTTAAAGTCCATATGCAGTTTAATTTTCTTGATCATGCAGGTTCCTGTGTCAGTTTGCAGTGAGAAATGTCCCCCAGGAACACGCAAGGTTCTCCAGAAAGGAAGGCCTGTTTGCTGCTATGACTGTATAAGATGTGCAGAGGGACAGATCAGCAATGTTACAGGTGTGGTGACATTTCATTTTAACTTTGGTGCATTACAAAGCAAAGTTAGCCATGTAGGACGGTCATACGAGAACTATTTAATAATCGTGATGTTTGTTTTTATGCAGACATAATATGCATTTAGTACGGAGCCCTGCAGGGGACATGGGAGAAAAAAAAATTAAGACGGACTTTTGCGAGATCTCGCAAAACTAACTCGGGATCTCGCAAAAGTTTTGCGAGATCTCGCAAAAGAAACTCGGGATCTCGCAAAACTTTTAGCCGCATTCTTCGGATGCCGGCTCGAAGCCGACCGGGAGGTCGAGGCACGATGTGCCGGGAAAGCGGTGTTCCTCCCGGCTGTAGTAGGTCTCGACCTCCCGTTAGCTTCGAGCTAGCGGGAAGAATGCGGCTAAAACTTTTGCGAGATCTCGCAAAACTTTTGCGAGATCCCTCCCATGTCCCCTGCGGGGCTCCGTAATTTCGATTTCCTTCTCAAACTAAGTAAAACTATTTAACTAATAGTCACAGAATCATAACATTTCAACAGTAAGGAGACAGATTTATGTTGGGCATTGTTTCAGTTGACGGTTTTGGATTTTTACAGAGCTGCATAGAACTATATGTGCATTTTTTCACATATATACTCATAATTTAAAATACATGAAACTAGTAACCAATATGATGAAGAAGAAATCATCCATTCATTTTCTGCTGCTTATCCATGTCTCGGTCATGAAGTAGAATTGATAAAAAGAATTAGATAAAAGTTTACATGGAAAAAAAGAACAGGTTTATTCAAGACGTTGTATTTAGTCTTGTTGTTGCTAATAATAATAATAGAAATAATAATAAATTTTACACACAGAGACCCGCAATAACATGCACAACTTACAAGTCAAAATAGAAATATAAAGATATAGTCTGTGCCAAATTTCATCAGGTCTTTTTATTTATATTGTAGTGTCTCTCCAACAGAAGACAGAGACAGTCGGTTATTCTGTTTCTGAGTTTATTTGGAACAGTAACACATGTTGTTCTACAGACTCTCTGTCATAGGTAGCTGATATAATTGACAGGCTTAACAGCCTCTAGACCAGGGTTCTCAAACTTGCGGCCCCTCTACTTGCGGACTGCATATTGATGTGAAGAATTTTTTTTTAATTATTATTCAAAACATAATTTAATATGAAGGCAATGTGAGCAGAGTGTTACAGGTATTGCCCTTTAAGAATGTAGCCAGTGTAGTCTGTGCTTTAGGGAGATAGTGTGGGACTGCCTCTCCGTTATGTGTGTGAGTGTGAGCGAGGGAGAAAAAGGGGAGTCAAAAAGTATGAGTTCTCACCGACCAGAAACAGGAGATGGAAGCATGTAAATATAATAACAACCACTCCAGCCAAAAAGAATGCTTGACGAGCCCAGTTGTAAGTAAGCTGTTAAGACTAGACTGTACGCTGTGTTCGTGTTTTCCTCCGAAACAATAGAGTTCAGTTGGAGCAGCCTTTCAACACCTCTCTCTGTCTCTTACTAGCAAAGTTGACCCAGACAGTAAAGCTAGTTCCTGGCTATGAGCCCAACAAAGAACCCGACATATTAGCCAGAGGTCTCTTTACTACGGTATGGAGCCGTTGACCTGGCTGAGGTAGCAAGAGAGTACACACACGTGGAAGGATTGGCTGTGCCAGTTCAATGAGAGTCAAAAACTAATGTGTACACTTACGTCTGCATTTTTATTTTGTTAAATATGAACAAAATTATAGCAGAAGTGCTGTCACGTGTTTGGCCAGAAAGAGCGTACCAATTTGTTTATTTGGTAGTTCAATGAAAGGCTTCAGTTAAGAGTGAGAAAAAGAATTCCTTTCATGTTTGCAGTTTTGTCTTGTTATACAATATTTGAAATTTAAAACAAACAAACAAAATACAACATTTTAGGAAATATTAGTGGGTGTTTTCTGGTTTGTTTGGGTTTTTTGTACTACTTGAACATGAAAGTGGCCCTCCAATGAGATGGTGGTGCCAGCAGTGGCCCGTGGCTCATTTGAGTTTGAGACTCCTGTTTTAGACTATTACACCTTCAAGGATACTCAGTAAATTACTTCTTTGCAGGTGTGGAGCATATCTGCCAAAACTGTGTGGCAATTCTGAAAACAGTAATAACACAACAATTGGATTAACTTGTAATCCAGTCCATTACAATATATTTTAATGCCTTACAAAACCATGATTATACATAGTCTGCTTTTTTTCTGTAAAGTAACTCTTATGTTAGCCTCTCAGTTATAGTCAGTGTTTAATATTTACCACAATCCTTTGTTCTAAACTTAGAGTTAATACAATTAATGGTGATTAATACTCAATAAATGTTTTTCTCTATCTGATAACACCACTGAGGCTAAATATTAAACACTAAATAATATTTGGAATAATATCTGGAAAGTATAGAAAATCTATTATAACTCCTTGTAAAATTTAAATAAAAAGTATGCCACAATCACAAACACTGATGGATGCTCAATTTAATTTAATTCAATTTTAGTCATACAGCTCTAAATTGCAACAACTGTTGCCTTGAGGCTGTTGTTGTTGTTGAAAGCTGGTTCAAAAGTAGAAAAAGAAGCCTGAAAACCAAAGGCTCTGGCTCCCATTCTACTTTTAAATACTCCAGAAACCACAAGTAAGCTTGCAGTCCAAGAGTGAAGTGCTCTAATAGGGTGATATGGTTATTAAGATAAGATGCGACCTGAGTATTCAAGAGCTTAAAAATGAGAAGCCCGATTTTAAATTCAATTCTGGATTTAACAGGGAAGGGAAGCCAATATTGGAGAAATATACAGTACACTCTCTTTCTAGTTCCTGTCCATAATCTTGCTGCAGTATTTTGGATTACGTGGAGGCTTTTCAGGGAGTTTTTAGGACATCCTAATGACAAACCAATTAAAAATACTCCAGCGTAGATGTACTAAATGCATGCACTAGTTTTTTAGTGTCACTCTGAGATAGGATATTTCTAATTTTAGAGATATTGAGCAAATGGTAAAAAGCAGTCCTACATATTTGTTTAATATTTGACTTCAAGTTTCCTCACAGTGTTACTGGAGGCTAAGGTAATGCCATCCAGAACAAGAATCTGGTTAGATACCATATGTCTTTGATTTTCAGGCCAGTGCAATAACCTCAGTTTTATTTGAATTTAGAAGTAGAAAATTAGAGGTCATCCAGGTCTTTGTCTTTTAAGACATTCCTTTCGGTCAAACTAATTGGTATCTGGCTTCATGGATAGATAAAGTTGGGTGTCATCTGCATAGCGGTGAAAATGTATGCTATGCCTTCTGATTATACCTCCTAAGGGAAGCATGTGTAATGTAAACACAATTAGAACCATGTGGAACTCCATAATTGACCTTACTGTGTGAAGAGGACTCTCCGTTTACTTGATAGCTATGATACAAACCACTGCAATGCAGTACCTGTAATGTCTACAGCACACTCTAATCGTTGTAATAGAATATTATGGTCTACATTATCAAACATTGCACTGAGGTCTAACCGGACAAGCACAGAGATGAATGCATTGTCTGAGGCCATAAGAAGATAATTTGTAACCTTCACTAAAGCTTTCTGTTTCTGTACTGTGATGAGCACTGAATCCTGACTGAAACTCTTCAAATAAGCCATTCCTCTGTAGATGATCAGTTAGCTGTTTGATAACTACTCATTCAAGAATTTTTGAAAAGAAACAAAGGTAGGAGATTGGCCAGCAGGGTCAAGAGATGTCTTTCCAAGTAATGGTTTAACTATTGGCAGATTGAAGGCCTGTGGTACATAGCTGATTATTAGAGATAGGTTGATCATATTTAAGACTGATGCATTATTAATGGTAGGGCTTCTATGTGCAAATGGGAAGTAATTACTGAAGTTAACTCAGAAAGATCAATTGGAGAAAAATACTCAAAATAAGTACCAGTGGTACTGAAAGTAGCTGTAGATAATGTTACAATCTTTGAGATGATTATGAGTAAATTTTTTTTCTCCAATGGTTACAATTGTATTTGTCGTGGTGGAGGGTTTATGTGTCCCAGGGACCCCAGGGGCTATGTTGTCCGGGGGCTTGTATCCCCTAGTAGGGTCTCCCATGGCAAATTGGTCCTGGGTGAGGGACCAAAGAGTGATTCAGAAAACCCCTATGAGTAGAACATCAAGGGAACAGTTAACCCTGCCCGGGATAGGGTTACCGGGGCCCTGCCCAGGAGCAAGGCCCGGTGAGGGTGCCCAAGGGTGTCTGGTTAATGGGCCTTAGCCCATGGGGCCTGCCAGGCACAGCCCAAAAAGGGGACATGGGTCCACCGTCCTGCAGGCCACCACCTGCAGGAGATGGGGTAGGGGTTGGGTGCTGGGTGGCGGCCAGGAGCGGAGGCTCTGGCGGACCTGGAGAGTTTCTCAGTCTGGAGCTGCCCCTGGTGAGAGGCAGCAGGCTGGGGTGGGTATCCATAGTATCACCTTGGCTTGCTGCCTGTACATTGGGGTTTCTCCCGGTGGACAAGAGGGTTTACTCCTGCGCCTTCAGGTCGTGGAATGGGTCCTGACCGTCATCTATGCTTATGTGCCAAGTGGCAGTTCAAAGTACCCAGCCCTTTGGAGTCCCTCTTGGGGTGGGGGTTTCAATGCTCATGTGGGCAATGACAGTGAGACTCGGGGGGGCATAACTGGGAGGAAAAGCTTCTCTAGACCTAACCGCGGACTTCTGTGCAAACCCCAGTTTGACCATAACAAACACCATGTTCGAACATAAGTGTTCATAAGTGCACGTGGCACCAGAATGCTCTAGGCTGGAAGTCGATGATTGATTTTATAATCGTATTATCAGACCTGCGGCCATATGTTCTGGACACTCAGGTAAAGAGACGGGCTGAGCTGTCAACTGATCACCACCTGGTAGTGAGTTGGATCAGGTGGAGGATGCTGGACAGACCTAAACATATAGTGGGTGTGCACTGGGAACGCCTGGCAGAGGCCCCAGTCCA